TTCCTTGCTGGCTGTCAGTCGGGGGGCAGTCTCAGGTCCTAGAGGCCTCTCGCTTGCCTTCCCTGCCACAGCATTGGACTTCTTCAGAGCCAGCAATGGAGAGTCTCCCTCCCTTTTGTACTTCAATTCAGGAAGAGTTCAGGTCCTTTTCATGGGGTGCCTGAGTAGGTCACATCCACCTAGAATAATCTCCCTATCTTAAAAAACCAACTAATTTTGAATCTTAATTCCATCTGCAAAATCCCTTCACTGCAGCACCCAGATTTAGGGTTTGATTGGATAAGTGGAAGGTTTGTGTACTTCAGTAAGTAGGAGTCTTAGGGGCTCTGTTAGAATTCTGCCCATTGCAAGCAGTGTCCCCACTTCAAGGACTGAAGTGTCTTAGTTCCTAAAACTCCTGAGAGAGTTTATCAGTGTTCATTTTATTTTATTGATCTTGGTGAATGGGAAGACTACCACCTCTGTGAACAGGAATGGCACCCAGCTTCCTGAGTCCACAGTGTGGCTCTGCTACTTAGTGGTGTGACCTTGGCTGTGCTGCTCTACTTACTCTACTTCTCTGCCTCTGTTTCCCTCATCTGTAAAATAACATGGAGTTAGTGATTGTTCTTTCCTCGTAAGGTTTTTTGTTTTTTAAATAAATTTATTTTATTTATTTATTTATTTATTTATTTTCAGTAAACGGGCCTCTCACTGTTGTGGCCTCTCCCGTTGCAGAGCACAGGCTCCGGACATGCAGGCTTAGCGGCCATGGCTCACGGGCCCAGCCACTCCGCAGCATGTGGGATCTTCCCAGACCGGGGCACGAACCCATGTCCCCTGCATCGGCAGGCGGACTCTCAACCACTGCGCCACCAGGGAAGCCCTATTTATTTATTTTTGGCTGCGCTGGGTGTTTGATGCTGCTCACGGGCTTTCTCTAGTTGCGTCGAGCGGGGGCTACTCTTCGTAGTGGTTTGCGGGCTTCTTATTGAAGTGGTTTCTCTTGTTGCAGAGCACAGGCTCTAGGTGCACAGGCTTCAGTAGTTGTGGCACGTGGGCTCAGTAGTTGTGGCACGTGGGCTCAGTGGTTGTGACACAGGGGCTCTAGAGCGTAGGTTCAGTAGTCGTGGCACACGGGCTTAGTTGCTCCGGGCACGTGGGATCTTCCCGGACCAGGGCTCGAACCCGTGTTCCCTGCACTGGCAGGCAGATTCTTAACCACTGCGACACCAGGGAAGCCCCCTCTTAGGGTTTTGATGATTAGACTATTTAATGCCCAGGGAACTCCAAGAACAGAGCTCGACTGTAAATTGCTTTAAAAGTGATTACTTTAAAAAAAAATGCTTTTGAATCTGCAATTATGCAATTCAGGTATGTTAAGCATGTTCATTAATAGGACTTCCTACTATAAAGAGACCCACAAATAAAAATAGAATTTTTCTTTCTTGGCCTTAACTATTTATTTCTGACTTGCTATGTTATACGCATATGCCTTTTATGGTAGGTTGCCACAAATTTATGTTGGAAAAAGTGGAATTTAAATAAATCTTTACTATGCTAATTTGATAGATTTTGATAATTCATTTCACTAGCATGGTATGATATTACCAGTAGCAGACTAAAATCTGAGTTCACTTCTAGCTCTGCCCCTAAATCCTGATAAGACCTATAGCTGGAAAGGCTTTTAGATATTATACTACGAATTAGTTATAATATTTACTCTGTTTAGGAAAAACTGGAGGAGTGCCTAAAGCAGTTAAAGGAGGAAAGAGTAATAAGACTTAAGGCTGATAAATGAGTCAATGAGGCAAACAATTTCTTATACTTTTGAGAGTGTTTTGGTTTTATTTTGATTTGATTTTAAGCCATATACACATAGTTTGTAAACTTTAAAACTGTAATATGTTGCAAATTGGTTGTGTCATATGGACTTTTGCATTTACTGGTATTTAGTGATCATATGATCTATATTCCAGAAAGCATGTTTTTAAAAATGTGAAAATCTCGTTTTGTGTGTGTGTGTGCGTGTGTGTGCTTTCATATGACATTAGCTTATTTTCTGTTCATGATTCTTTGATTAAAGAAAGCACTTTTTGTGCATATACTGTATATACAGTAGCATAAAAGGCATGATGAGACTCTCCTGGCAATGAATTAGGAAAGTGAATCATTTAAATAAATTTAAGATATTGGAAAACTTGTAAAAATGCAATGAAAGATAAAACTATATACTATAAGAATTACATTAGGTAATGTGCATGAAAGCAGGGCATAATCTAAAAAGTTCTATATAAATATACTTTATCATAGGTTGAGCGTAGGGAGGAATTTTCCAAAGTGCATCCATTGGATTGGCGGACACTCATTCAATAAATGTTGAGCACTTGCTTATATAAGGCAAAAGGGGCATCATGAACATAACAGCTTTTCTGAGAAATACTAGAGTTGAGCTTATAGGGGGTTTTAAGTGCATAGGTGATGAGTGGAAGGGGAAGAGTGCACGCGAGTGAATATTTTCAAGAATCCTAAAAAAATATTGGTGATCGTACATTTAATAAATTGGGTTGGGTATGATTTAGGACTTTTAAACGTAAGCATTAGATATTTTGCTCACTAAAGTTAATTCTTAACATTCAGCAGAGTTGTAATATGTTTTGTTCAAATCAGATTCTATAATTCACTTTCTAATTTAAGGGAAACTTAAAGCAGGTAATTTTCTGATGTGGAATGAGGCTCCATTATGAATTTAACCAGTTAGAAATGTGATCTTTTATGAAAGATCATTAATAAAACGATAACTTTTATTTATATACCACCTAAGTGTTATATAGGAAACTTTGTTGGGTGCCTGGGGGTTTTGGTTATTATGTGATATGGTCTCTGTCTTTCCTGGTGGAGAGTTAGGTTAATTACAGATTAATTACATTTTGAGTGTTTTAGTTTTGTTCCTTGAAACTAGACAAGACTACTTTTGATGACAATGAGAAAAAATCATGTCAGACATTTTCAGTCTTCTTTTATAGCTGGAACATGAAAATGCCCAGTTAAGAAATATAAATTTCTCTTTGTCTGAAGCCCTTCATGCCCACTCATTGACAAGCATGATCCTGGATGATGAAGGTGTTTTGGGCAGCATTGAGAATTCTTTTCAGAAGTTGCATGCTTTCTTAGATATCCTTAAAGATGCTGGGTTAGTTCATTTCTCTTCATGGCATTCTTCTCTTTGTGACTATAATGGTAGTTTGCTGAGGAACTGGAGCAATTTTCATCACTTATGTAGCCATATTTAGCCAAATTTAGTGTAATTATAGGTAATATAGTTGACATTTTAAAATGAGGAATTAAATTTTTTAAGAAATGCAAATAGGGGAGCCTGCTTTGGTAGAGTGGGGAGCCCATTATAAAAGAGTAACCTGTAGACAGAGTAATTAGTGGGTATAGTTTTTTGTAAAGACTAAATTGAAGGCAGTTTTCATTGAAAATATTCGGGAATGGATAAGAATTTTCCTATCTTTCATTTATTTTGCTTGTTTGATAAGTTTGAATTAAAGTTATTTTTGTCTTAAACATAAAAATTATTATTAATCTGCAGGGAAGATATAGGTCAGTGGTTCTCAACCAGGAGCACTTTTGCTGAAAGAGGGAAGTGGAGATGGGTAGTTGATGGAGTGGTGTTTTGTCAGTGAATGAATTTGTGTTGGTAAGGAAGGAACAAACACATTCTTTGAAACTGGAGGAAAGGTGGTAAAGAAGTGTGGGAATGGAGGTGTGACAGGCAGTGGACGGGGTGCATGGTACATGTTGAAGCTGCTAGTGAGACAGTGGGATGTCTCCTAGAGGATGAATCTGGAAAGGGCTGAGAATTTGGGGGAGAGAGAGGCTTGTAGTCTGGAGTAGGATGTTGGCTTTTAAGATTTTAGAAGTATTTCATGATGGTAGGTCTGGGGAAATCTAAACTGCTCTTATGTGATTATAATAACCTTTGTCTTTTCTCCTTTCCTCCTTTGGTCCAGGCTTGGGCAGCTGGCCACAATGGCTGGTATAGATCAGTCAGATTTTCATTTACTAGGTCGTCCCCAGATGAATTCTACTGTTAGTAGTCCACGTAAAGAAGAAAAGAAGGCACTTGAAGAAGAAAAATCAGAATCAAACAGAGTGCCCCAGTACAAACGCAAAATCTCCAAGTAAGTGGACAGGACAGCACTTAATAATTCTAAGAGTGATTAGCAAAAAGGAAATGACCAAGTCAGAGAGAAAATAATAATGGTCAGTCTCTAATAGTTCACATGCTCGGGAGCTAGAAGACTCTGGAATCCTCTCCAAATCTGAGATCAGTAAATGTGGGCCCATTTCATGATACTGTATTGTTGTACATAAGAAAACTGGAAGTTCTTTAGAAAATTTATGAGTTAAAGCAAACTCTCCTTAATGAAGTAAGAAAACATTACAGAAAATATTCCAAATTTTAAATTGTATAAATGTCTATTCTATTCATATTTTATCTAGGTTTCTATTTGTATGCAGTCAGCATACAATGAAGGAACACTAATGAAGGTACACATACTGATATAATGTTTTTAAAAAGTAATCTTGACATAGCTAATATGTAAGATATTATAGTGACTCACCGGGTCATGGGAATGGGAGGGGAAACCTGTCAGCTTTTCCTCCACCTTACTTGGAGCCCCCTTTGCCCACCTCAGCCAATCTCAGACTGGTCTTGGGAACTGACAGCTTGAGAACACAGTCTGGTCACAAACTATATATTGTTTACATGTGCCTGGAGGATAGAAAAGAAATTAATTTTTCTTACAGAGTAGGGTTTCATTCTTAGTGAGGGAAAGGAAATGGGTAATAACTACCCCAATCACCAAAGTCTGAAAATGTAGCTGACATAGCCTTGGATATAGCTAGGTTAAGTTGAGAATCACTTGGCAAGATATAATTAGAAAAAAAATGTCTCTGAAGTCTTCTGAATAATCAGTTGACTGTGTTAATAATAAGATCACAGAGTAACATTGAAGTTTTGAACTCTACTTTTTAATGGTTGTCTTTGTTCATCACTGAATTTTTGCCTTGTCTTTTGTCTTTCCCTCCAGTTTCAGAAAATTACAGGTGATGCTGGGATTCCTTTGCCTCTTGACTCCTTCCATGTCCCAGTCTCTACTCAGGAGGCCTTAGAAACTTCCAAAGACAACCTGGGGGTCCCAGTCACAGAGCAGCGGCAGGAGTCTTTTGAAGATTTCATTGCTAGAACATGTTCTCCTTCAGCAGACGTCATTTCTGGAACTGGAAGTCAAAGAAAAGAAGAGGAATTATCTAGAAATAGCAGGTCTTCTTCAGAGAAAATGACCAAAGCCGGTGAATATACCAAAACATACTCTGCTAAGAAACAACCTGGGAAGGACCTGCATTCCTGCTCTGACTCACCTGTAAAGCAGAAAAGCAAAGGAATTGGGCAAAATAAGTCTTTGCTTAATGAACCAATTAGAAGTGAGTCTTAGAAAAAACACATTTCTGTTAAGAAAGAGAGTAGAATAGTGACTGTTTCATCAAAGACAACTAAAAGTAAACTCAGTCTACTAGAACATTCTGAAAGTGATACTCTTGGATCTGACTGTGAATTTCAAGAAAGCATCCATACTCCATCATGCCTAACATAGGTCTAAATCTTTTAAAATCTTTTAAAATTATGCTTTTGCCTTCAAATTTTAATAAATTACTTATGTTTTTATTATAGCATATGGTGTTTTAAAATACTTGACTGGAAGCCATTAGAGAAAGATTTATCTATACTTTTTTATTATAATGAAAGTTTTGGTGTATTTTTCCTTGTGGCACTTTGCACCATTCATTCAGCTAGTGTTTACTGAGGGTTTCATATGTACTGTACTTTTCTGGGTGCTATTGCTTTCAGCAGTGAACAATGTAAAGCCTTTACTCTCCTGGAACTAACACTCTGTGGTGAGAGAAAACATAAACAACAAAACAGGGTAAGGGGTAAAAAGAGATGGAAATAATAAATGGAATAGTTTTACCATTTGGTTAAATGTCAAACTATTATAAATCATATTGCCAGAAGCCATTGACATATTTTAATTCACAATAACCAGAGAGCATCAAACATTTACCAAGGCACTTAACTTTGTTTATGGATTATAGCAACACTATGAGGTAGGGAACTATTACCATCCCCATTTATAGATGAGGAGTCTGAGGAGACAGTATGTGAGTTGCCCAGAATTACACAGCTGTAAGTAAGTGGGAAGCTGGGATGTGACCAGAACCCATGCTTTTTTTTTTTTTTTTTAATGTGTGGACTTTATTATGTTTCATTTGTTTCTGATTTATGTGATTTTTTTTAAAGATTTTTTTTGATGTCGACTATTTTTAAAGTTTTATTGAATTTGTTACAGTATTGCTTCTGTTTTATGTTTTGGTTTTTTGGCCACAAGCTTGTGGGATCCTAGCTCCCTGACCAGGGATCGAACCCTCACCCCCTCCATTGGAAAGTGAAGTCTTAACCACTGGACCACCAGGGAAGTCTCCCTTATGTGATTATTTTTATGGCAGTTTTTAAAATTTTTATTTTTTATTGACGTATAGTAGAATTACAGTGTTGTGTTAATTACTGCTCTACAGGAAAGTGACTCAGTTATACATTTATATACATTCTTTTTCATATTCTTTTCCATTACAGTTTATCACAGGATATTGAATATATTTCCCTGTGCTATACAGTAGGACCTTTTTGGTTTTTTTTAAATACATCCACTTTTTAAAAAATAAATGTATTTATTTATTTTTTTATTTTTGGCTGTGTTGGGTCTTCGTTGCTACACGCGGGCTTTCTCTAGCTGCGGTGAGCAGGAGCTACTCTTCTTTGTGGTGCGCGGGCTTCTCATTGTGGTGGCTTCTCTTGTTGCGGAGCACGGGCTCTAGGTGCATGGACTTCAGTAGTTGTGGTACACGGGCTTCAGTAGTTGTGACTTGCAGGGTCTAGAGCGCAGGCTCAGTAGTTGTGGCGCACGGGCTTAGCTGCTCCGCGGCATGTGGGATCTTCCTGGACCAGGGCTCGAACCCATGTCCCCTGCATTGGCAGGCATATTCTTAACCACTGCACCACCAGGGAAGTCCCACGTAGGACCTTTTTGTTTACCCATCCCGTATATACACCAGTTTGCATCTGCTAATCCTAAACTCCCAATCCAACCCTCTCCCACCCCCTCCCCCTTGGCAACCACCAGTCTATTCTCTATGTCCTTGGTTATGTTTCTGTTTCACAGATAGGCAGAACCCAGGCTCTTAATTACTTTGTTATCCTGTTTCCTTGTTAAGAGAAGAAGGGTTTAAGGAAGGCACCGAGAGAGAAGCCAGTGAGCAGTGAGCACTAGAAGTGCAAAACAGTGGGGCTGTCAGAAAACTCATCTGTCTCCTTCCCCCATCTAAGCAGAATTTTTAAACGGCAGAGTATGTGATGACACATCTCTGGATTAAATTATGTCTCCCTAGTAAAACATGCACAGCTAAGTCTTTAGTTCAATCAGACTGAAAGGTGAGATCAGAGAAAAGCTGGAGTGTCAGATTTCTTCTAAAAGGTCCTGCCTGATTGTTACTAAGAGGACTACTACAGTACTAGTTAGTTCATTAGTCATGGATTGGGTGTTAGAGGAGTGAAACGATGAGGAAGATGTAGCATTGGCCCTTTAGCAGTCCAGTGAGAGGGGAAGACACACAGCAGATGTCTCATCCTGCACGTGACATGCTGTGATGGGCATATTCAGGGCGTTTAGTCAGTGTTTGTGGAAGAAGAGGGGGAGCTGTGAGGGAAAAAAAAGTCATCGAAAGAGGTAGTCCCTAAGCTAAGTCTTAAAGGACTCGTGAGAAACTGGTGAGTCAGCCGGTGAAGGGCAAGGACACTCAAGGCAGAGAGGACAGCAGAAGTCCAGAGTCGTGAGTGTGCGAGGGGTGTGTTACGGAGCCACAGGCACAGGCTCTGGAGGATCAGTGAAGTGTCCCCAGGCAGTGGCAAATGCCCCTAAAGGAGGCAGCGAGGAGGAGGAGAGCGGGCCTTAACCATCCATGTGTGTGGAGCTGGTTTCCCCAGAAAATAGCTAAGAATGGAAAGGACAAGTTCAGGTGGCATTTTAGACCACTGACGTCAGTATGGATGAGGAAGCTGAAGAAGCCTGGAGATAATTATGCCCCACTCTTCTGAGGAGCAGTGTTTTCTATTTTCGAGTGGGACTTTCATGCTGCCATCTCCTCTCCTGTCCCTACTGAAAGGTTTATAGGCTGGCAGAAGGGAGAACCTGGCTTAAGTAAAGTTAATCAGGTTTCTTTACTGTACAGCTTCTCGGGGCTGCTGTAGGCTAATGTCCATTCTGGATCGTCACAGCAGGCATATGGTACACAGCCATTCTCAAATCTATTTGACTCTAGAGTCCTTTTTTAGTAGAAGTGTCTAACAACTGGTTCCACCAAACAGCAATTTGGTAACTTCTAGGCCAGGTAATAGAAAGGGGTCTGAAATAAGGTATAGATGAAGGGAGGAAATAAGTTCTAATTTTATTTAGGAAATTACAAGCAAGACTTGATCTTGGGAAATAAGGAAGAAGTAGGAGGCGGAGGCTGAACCCCCATCTGTGTGACTAAGGTTGGGTGGTGGTATCATTGAGTTTGGAAATAGGGGATAAAGAACTGAATTGGGAAAAAAGACTTTAGTTCTGCACATGTAGAATTTTAAAGCACCTGTAGAATTCAGGAGACAGACTGGTAGATAACTGGACATGCATGTGAAGACATGGAAAGATAAAAATTTGAATGCCATCAGCACATATTAGCAGTCATTAAAATCATGAAAATGGATGAGATTTCAGAGAATTGTGAATACTGACAACGTTTAAGTAATAAGCAGAGAAAGAATTCTGGGAAGGAGAGAGGTGATAGAGTTTCAAGAAGGAGGAAGTAGATGACAGTGTCATCCTTCAGAGAATGTAAGTGTCCATTGGATTTGGGCAGTTAGGTCCCCAGTGACCTTAGAGCAGTTCAGTGAAGTGGTGGACAAGAAAGCCAGATTGCAATAAATTGAGGGCGTAGGGCTGCCTGTCGGGGCCAGGCGGGGCTAGTGAAGACAGTGGGAACAGGCCGCTCTGAAGGAGTTTGGATGAAAAGAGAAAATAATTAGCAAAAAAGAATTTTTTAGAATGAGAAGGACTTATATTTTATATGTTGAAATGAAGGAACTGATAAAGGAGATCCTGAAGATGTAGATAATAGTTTAGAGAATTGGGGAAACATGGACATATGAATAAGAAAAAAAAGCCTTGCACAGTATATAAAAATCACATGTATCCTTCGAGTTGAGAGGAAATAAAGGTAAGAAGAGATAGAAATTAAATGAGTTTATACTGATAGCCTCAGTTTTCTTTGACACAGATTTTTCAGAGACACATATATACACATACATAATTACAGTTTTAAAATTCTTTCGTAGTTACATGTTTTATTAATCACGTCTGAGAAAAGTCATTGATTTTCATTTTGTACAGCATTATCTTGTAAGGACAAGATACAGTGACAACTTCCAAGCTTTTTGCATGTCAGAGCTGAAACTGAAAGTATCTCCGTAATTGAATTTTCACTTCTTATTTGTAATAAGTTTATCCTTAGGAGGATACTTCATAGTGTTTGATCACAGATGAGTTTGGGCATTGCTATCACTCAATAATGTTAAGCATCTGTCAGGTTCTCTCCTATACTATATATTAATTTTTTCTCTGTTAAGCAAATATTTATTGGCAGCCTGTGGGAATAAAATACAACTAGGTCTTCTTTCCTTGGTATATTCACAAAAGCCCCTGAAACTAAATTTCCAAGTCAGGCCATACTAAGGCCTGGAATAATAAGTTTTCATTGTTAACAGCTTTTTTGTGGTTTTCTTTTCTTTTTTTTTTTTTTGAAGCAAGGATAAGACACTGTCTTAACTCAGTAGTTGTTCATTGATTAATAAGTCAAAGAAGACATTGATGAAGCATGGTATTTTGAATATCCTTTCCACAGAATAGGTAATGGACCGTCCTGAAACTCTGGTGAGATGCTTATCATTTTCAGATTTTTGGAGTGGCAGAGAAAACCCTATTAAACCTTGAATTATCACTAGAAACATGAATTCAGCCAAATAAAAACAGTGCCTCTGCCTACTGAGGTTGTCAATTTCCATCTTAACGAAAGTGAACATTTCTCCTTTAGACTAAAATCAAGAAAATCCCCTCTCTCCAGGATGCAATAATTGGGTGCAAGAAAGAGGAAAACTGAAGGTATTCCCTCTTTCCACCTGAACAGTGAATTCATTCTGATATAAAATATTTGTTATGATTCTGCTATGACCAGGTGCTTTATTGTGTTTAGAGATCAAGTTACTGTTCATTCTTGGTAAGTAAGAAAAATCCATGTTTTAGGACTCTGAATAGTAACTTTATATATTTTATATATATATAAAAATAAATATATATATTATATATAATATATATTCCACCTATTCAACAAAATTGTAATTTCATCATCTCTTACGAATGATGAACTGTATTTACTCTTTGGAAAGGGCTTATGGGGAATTAAAGTCTCCATATACTTTTTATATAAGACCATGGAAACCAAATTCTCAACTGGGAGCAAACTTAGGTTTGCTATGAAGGATTATGCTTGCCTGGCCTTAGAGTGGTAGGTCAGGAACTCAAGGTGGAGTTATTTTCCTCTAAGTTACTTTCATTGATGCCACCCTGAAAAATTTGGAGGGAGTATTTTTTGAAATAGCTTTATCTCAGTAACCCTTTAAAAATGCTTCAGGGTATGGGGAACATAACTATCAAAATGTTCAAGCAACTCTGTTGATTTAAGTGTAATTGATCAGGAGCAATACAGGAAAGAGCTGGGTACAAAAGACAAAAGGCCCAGGGCTATTTCATGTATTGTTTTTGGCTTATTGTACAAAACAGAGAAAGTCTCATACACTCATGCAGCCAAGGTCCCCTACTGTTCTCTCATTTTAGTATAAATAAAAGAGAGCTAGTTTCTCAATAGCAGCATTCTATCCTTAAGTGGGTACACAGTGATATTCTAATGGTCTCTGGAGCAGAGAATAATTCCATGGTAGCTCTGACCTCCAGTCACCTGGTTTTCTGTAACTTAGTCTTTCATGGCCAAGGACTATAATCATTATTTCGATTTATATTTAGCATCTCAAAATTGAAAGGATTTCATGGACAACAAAACAGTAAGTGATTTCATGAAGTGTTTTAGTATGGATAAAATAATAAACTATAAAAATACAAATCATCAGTAAAGCTTTTTCTTT